ACTCTGGCGCTTCCCAGCCAGTTTATTCACTGCAAGTCATTGGGAGAAGGAGAGGATTTTATTTAGAAGGTATCCCAGCAAGGAGACCACAGCAGAGCAAAATAGATTGTCTTTGTGGTGTCCTGATTAAAATAAGAATATGTAGAGAAAAAAATATGTAGAGTATATACGTTTGGCTTTGGAATTTATACTACTGGGAATCACCTATAAATGTTTTATATTAACTCGGGTTTCAGGGTAACTGTGGGAAATAACTCTTGACCATAAAGTTCTTTCAGTTTTAGGCCAATTTCAGAATGTCTTTGTCAACTATCCAGATGCCAAGGCTTAGCTATTAATCGCTAACAGTCCGTCAGGTAAATAAGAGAAGACGTTCAGTATTATCTGGTCCTTTTGGGTGACACTTGCTTCCAACATCTCTGTTTTTGAGCAATGTAGTGAGTCATAAACATTCCATAGAGACTGCATTAAGTAAAGCACGTAGGTTAACTTCATTTTGTAACAGGGAGTTTTCTAACTACATTAAGTAAAATAACTTGGGTTACAAAACCAAACCAAGCCAAATGAAACTCACTGCCAAGTTGATTCCAACTCATAGTGTCCCTGTAGGACAGAGTATAACTGCCCCTAGGGTTTCCAGGGCAATAAATCTTACAGGAGCAGAAAACCTCATCATTCGCCCACAAAGTAACTGGTGGGTTTGAACCACCGACCTTTTCATTAGTAGCCCAAGGTAGTTATTCACTATATTGTGAAGGCTCTATCAATATACTGCAGTTAATGAGATTCAAGGTGATAATTGTATTGGGGTATGTATTAATCACCTAGGAATCTTGCTGAACTGTGGATTCATATTCAGTAATATGGAGTGGAAATGCAAATTCTCAGCAGGGTGTTGAACCAGAACAAATCTGTTGGCAACCTTGCTATTCAGGTCTGAAGTTATGAACTAGATTAATTTTATTCCACTGTTTGTTTTTTCATGCATCTCGTCCCTACCACACCCAATATTTTCTGTTGCTCGTTTCTTTAAAGAACTTTAAGGGTAAGTTTACACCCACCAATGTTAAATTGTATCGGAGTTCTCTGATCTGAAAAGAATGGAGGTTATGGTTGCAGATGGACACTGGGCCTCGACTCAAGTACACGCTCAACACAAGAACACTGTGTTCTAATAATACGGCATTCTGAGATGCTCACCTTCCTGACAGGATCGCTGAAGACAAAGTGGATGCGTAAGCAAATGTGGTGAAGAAAGCTGATGGTGCCCAACTATCAAAAGATATAGCATCTGGGGTCTTAAAGGCTTGAAGATAAACAAGCGGCCATCTAGCTGGGAAGCAACAAAGCCCACATGGAAGAAGCACACCAGCCTGTGTGACCATGAGGTGTCAATGGGATCAGGTATCAGGCATCTAAGACCCAGAACAAAACCATACCCAAGGTGAATTGGGGGGAGGGGGGCATGGAGTGAAGACCCAATGCCCAGCTGTAGACAATTGGACATTCCCTCACAAAGGGGTCACAGGGAAGAGATGAGCCCGGTCAGGATGCAGTATCCTCCCGATGAAATACACAACTTTTCTCTAGTTCTTTGGTGCTTCGTTCACCCCACTATCATGACCTTAGTTCTACCCTAGAAATCGGATTAGATCAGAGCATGCACACTGCTAAGATAAGAGCCTGCAACACAGGGAATCTAGGATAGATAAACCTCTCAGGGCCAACAGTGAGAGTAGAGATACCAGGAGGATTAGGGGAGGGTGGGAGGAGAAAGGGGGAATTGGTCACAAGGATCAAACTAGAACCCCCTCCCAGGGGGACAAATAGCAGAAAAGTGAGTGAGGGGTGATGCAGGATGATGTAAGATATGGAAATAATAATCTATAATTTATCAACGGTTCATGAGGGAGGGTGGGCAGAATAGGGAGGGGGAAGAAATGGGGAGCTGATATCAGGGGCTCAAATGGGAAGAGAATGCTTTGAAAATGATGATGACAGCATATGTGCAAACGTGCTTGACACACTGGATGAATGTACTGATTGTGATAAGAGATGTAAGAGCCCCCAATAAAAGTATTTTAAAAAAAGAAAAGAAAAGAAAGACACTCCCTACACCTTTCTGCTATGGAAAATAGTGTACTGGAAAAAAATTCCCTTCCCCATATGATTTAGAGTAAAACTTTGGATGTCCTCTGTTAGTCTGGGTTGACTAGAGAACAAATCCAAAGACACTAACATATATGTAGGAGAGAACGTTATATCTAAAAGTAATAATGCATCAGTAAAACATCTCAGCTAAGTCCAGATCAAGTCCGTAAGTCCAATATTAGCCCATATATCTGATACCAGGCTATAAATTCCTCTTCAGACTCATAGCACATGCAATGATGCCGAATGAAGGAAGATCACAGGCCAGTGGGTGGAAAGTCTTGTGGATCCAGTGGTGGTGGAAGCATCTCCATGCTGGCTTGTGTCTCCACGTGGTTCTGATGGCCATGGAGCATAGCTCCTTGTGGCTTATGAACGGAAGGTCAAGCAGAGAAAGTGTGTGTCCCTCCCCCAGGAAGGAGACAGGAGTTCTCAGAATCCTCAGAAGAAGGCCATGCCCACACAGAGGCTTCTTTGAATATGACTTCATTGACAGGCTAGACTATACTCCTTTGCTCAGGTTGACAGGAGATCATGTAACTGCCACACACTCTTGTTTACTTAGGATGAGGCCAGCCATCAATGAAATCAAACCTATTGCTATTCGGTCAATTCTGAGTCATACGACCCTGTACAGGGTTTCTGAGACTGTAAATTTTGGTTGGAAATAGAAAGCCTCAGCTTTCTCCTGCAGAGTAACTGGTGGGTTTGAACTGCTGCCCGTGCAGTCAGCAGCCCAACGCATATCCTACAGTGCCACAAAGTTCAACACTGAACTTTGACATTCCCATTTTATGCCCAATAAATGATTAACTGAACTGCTTGTCCTCATCAATCAAACAGAACAGAATGCTTACTCATCAGAAACTTTGGCTAGGTTTCTCTCTCCCCACATCTCTGAACTTTGGACCACCTTCAGCCTGAACCACTATGTAACTCCTTTCTTAAGGCCCCTCTGGGGATATGCTGACCTCAGCATAAAACCTTGATCTGCTATCTGATCACAACCCTTTTTTATGCCGTTTTCCGATAACTGATTCCATCTTGCCTTGTTCACCACCCCTCTTTTCATTTTGCCACATTCTTTTTCCTTTTCTAAAAAAAAAAATCATTTAAAAAATTGTAAGTTAGGTGGGGTTTTACATTTCAGATAATCAACTTTGTATTCAAGGGTTTAAACTACTAATCAAACCCCCAATATTTTACCTTTCGGTGGGTGGGAGAGGGAGGGGGGAAAATGAGCTGATACCAATGGCTCAAGTAGAAGGAAAATGTTTTGAAAATGATGGCAACATATGTACAAATGTGCTTGACACAATGGATGCATGTATGGAGTGTGATAAGAGCTGTATGAGCCCCCCAAAAATGATTAAAAATATAAATAGATAAAAGATTTATCTATAAATAATCATTTATAATGTTTATCATGATAATATAACATAAATATAATATAAATGATTATCATGATAAATGGATTGAAGTTGTCAAGGCTTTTGTCTTGCTTGTATCCACAATCAGTGCTCATGGAAGTAGCAGACAGGAAATTAAGTGACACATTGCTTTGGGTTAATCAGTTTCACAAGACCTCTTTAAGATGTTGAAAAGGAAAGATGTTGCTGGAGGACTAGGGTGTGCCTGAGCCAAGCCAGGGTATTTTCAGTTGTCTCAGGCCTGTGAAAGTCGGCCATTGCGCAGAGAAGCCCGAGGAAGAACCAATGCATTTGAATTGCGGTTCTGGAGAAGAATGTTGAAATCCTCATGGACTGCTACAAGGAAAGCCATCTTGGAAGAACTATCACCACAATGGTCCTTAGAGGCAAGGAGGTTGAGACTTCACCTTATGTACCTTGGCTGCGTTAGCAAGAGAGCCAGTTCCCGGAGAAGCAGCTTGTGCTTGGCAGGGTAGAGGTGGAGCAAAACAGTGGACGATCCTCAGCGAGCTGGAGGGACACAGCAGCTGCAAGAACAGGCTCAAACATGAGACAATTGTGAGGATGGTGCAGGTCCGGGCAGTTGTTCGTTCTTTCTTGCATAGGGTCACTTGGGGTGGGAACTGACTTCATGGCATTTAACAACATCATGGTGGTGGTGCTGTTGGGTGAGTGCTCGACTGTTAACCACAAGCTTGGTGGTTCAAATCCACTAGCCTCTCTTTGGAAGTAAGGTGAGGCTATCTGATCCCGTAAAGATTTCTAAAGCTGTGGAAACCCTACATAGGGTCACTATGAGTTGACATCAATTCAGTGGCAGTGGATGGGTGCACATATTTATGTCAAATCGAGGTAAAGTGGACAAGGCCTTTGTACCTTCCATCCATCCTTCCCTGGATGTGGGCTTCCCTTGAAGATGGGAAGTGCTGAAGGTAAAGTTATTCCCACTGGCTCGGTGTCTCTGTGAGCCTCAGTAGCTGGACAGCAGGCAAGAGGCGTGGCTCAGTCCAGCAGGGGAACCCGGTGGCTCCTTCAGCATCCCCCACACTGTAGTACATTCGTAAGCGCTCAATAAATAGTAGCTCTCGCCACTGTGACTCCTGTTCGGGCAGTGCCATGTAGTAGCTAAATCACTTCAAACATTACTTAACTTTTTGTAGGCTGTTTCTTCTGTTTAGAGAGGAGATCATAAACTCTCTTCTGCTGCCTTCCCTGAGTAGTTCTGAACACATGTGGAGATAATGGATGTGAAGTTGCTGAATAATGTGTTATGAAAATGTAAGGTATGAGTGTAAGCCAACATTTCTGAAATGAGTATCTGGCCATGACTTGGATTCCTTAAGGGAAAAGATTGTGATAAATGTAAAAGTGCTTTTCTGTGAATTACGGCATTTTGATTTTTCTTTTCTTCCTGTACAGGGAATTAAAATAATGGAGATGCTGCTAAAGGAACAGTGTGGTGCCCCCTTAGTGGAATAAAGAATCATGTGTGAGTGCCAAAAGAAAAATTAGAAGTACTTACTGGAGCCGTGTTCTCATGCTTATATGCCCGTGATTATGCTGCAGCCCCCTGGGGATCTCATACTGTACATTTCCCATGGACGACTGTTTCCCAGTGTGTTTACTATCTGCTCAGCACCTTTATATACTTGATCCCTCGATTTTCGTAGCAGTTTTGCACTATGTTTTGGGTTAACAGCTGCATTCAAATTGTTAGAACTGTTCAGTACAAGCCACCATGATTGTAACCCTCAAGGGGGCATAGCTTTGTAACGATTGTAGCTCGGGATTAGTTCAAGCCTAAGTTTATTGTTGTGAAAGCCATGAGAGGGAGAATTAAAAGTTGTAATTGGTGCAAAAGGAAAACGAGTAAGGGCCATGGTGATTGACCAGTGAGATAAAGATATTTTATCAGTCATATACACTTGACACTGATGGAAAGTAGTTGCCTAAAAGCCTATGGAGACTTTCAAAGACCCCAAGTCCTTGAGAATAATTCCCTGCTTGAAGGTGTGAGTGCCCTGATTGATGGGTAATAGCTGCTTTGGGCACACAGTGTTCGTCGTGAAGTACATGCATGCCACCACTGGTTTGGGGCAAATGATGTAGAATAAATAGGTAGCAGGGAGATTACACAACTACTCATATGCCTTTTTCTCCTCTTTCTATTGTCTGTATCTAGGAGCATAATCTCCATATTAAAAAGGTCAGAAAAAGTTATTTATTTATTTAATACTTTTATTGGCACATTCTTAGCATAATATACAATTTAATAGTTTAATCTTATTAAGAATACTGCAATCATCAGCAGAATAATTTCAGAGCTTTTCTTATTTCATGTACTCACAGTTCCCCCCAAACGCCCTTGCCGAACTCCTAGGTAATTATTAATCCAGTTGCTGGCTCTATAGATTTACCTATCCTGGATTTCATGGACAGAAAATTATACAGAACAAAAATCAACAAACAAATGAACCCCCAACAATGACAAAATAAAACAGAGAAAAATCTCAATCAAAAAGAAAACAGAAAGATATTAAAAACGGAATCAACTTTAAAGTAGGTCAAAAGAGAGATCAAATGATAATGTGATACATTTTTAAGGTAACTGCGTGTGCCACAAACAACTGTACAATGCTCTCTGTTGGATAGCAAGGCTATTCACATCCCTGGACTTTGATTGGAGAGAATTCACTGGAGGCTCAATCCATGATTCTGCAAAGAGGTTTTGGGCTTCTACTATCATCCATGGCCTTCTGTAAACCAGGTGTTCAGGAAGAACAAAGTTATTTAAGAAAGAATCAAAACCCCAAATAAAAGTGTAGTGGAGTTGCAGCTTACAGAATTTATGGAACTTAGGGTTTTAGCATCTGCGAGAAGGGAACCTTTGAGTGAAACAAGCATTGCCTGGAGTAATTAAAAATGATTTCAATGTACTTGTGTTGGCTGGAAAGTACAGGGCACATGACTTTGTATAAGCAACCAGGGACTCTGGGATGTACACCTTTAGGAACCATTAACCAAAAAAAAAGCAAAAGAAACATTTATTACAAATGTCTCAGCCTTCAAGCATGATGGCCAGGCCTGTGAGTGGATGCTGGTTGGACAAGTAAAAATTATCATGTTTGTTAGCAGGCTGACCTGCATTTTGACTAATATTAGCAGTTGCTAATGTGACCCCATGCGTGGCAGTGTCTGACTGCTCCACAGGGTTTTCCGTGCTTGATATTTTGGAAGTACATCATCAGGCTGCTCTTCTGAAATACCTCTGAGCAGGCTTGAACCTCCAGTCTTTCAGTGCCAAGTCCACCAGCTCTGCTAACCCCCGTTCATAATTCCATTTAGCAGCCTTGACACATGTTGGAATTGACTCTAAATATGGTTTGCTCCGATGTTCACTCTATTCTCTGAAGAATTTTGGAGAAGAACTTGATCACATCTCTCTGCTTTTCCAGGCTGGTGTCATTTTTTATTTTTATTTTGAGGTTCCTGAAAATCAAAAAACCAAACACAGCCAGTTGCTGTAAAGTCTTTTTCTAAGCCTGGTGACCCCACGTGCTTCAGGGTGAAGTGGACACCATTGAACTTTCAAGGTGGTGTTCTCTCAGCGGCAGATTGGTTTGAAGGATAAATGGCCTTAAGCTCCTTTATGCTCATGCCCTGGGGCATAAAGGCTCTGCAGAGGAAAAACGAGGCTTTCTCCGCCTGTAAACGTTTACAGGAGACATCCAGAGGCAGTTCTATCTAGCCCCTGCTATAGGGTTGCTATGAGTCAGAATAGCATTGGTGGGAGGGACTTTTGCATTTTAGCTTATGCTCAGTCCCCTGGGCAGAAACACCACTTTCCCCTAGGTCTAAAGTTGGCTCCAGGTTAAATGCAAGCACAAGTTTATCCATTTACATGATAAGGGTGCACACTTGGTAGAATTGTATATTTAAATGAGTGTTCTTCATCTTTACCAATCATCAGAATTACCTGGAAGGTTTGCTGAACAGTTACTACACTCTACCCCCAGCATTTCAGGTACAGCAGGTCTGGGGCTGCGGGGCAGTATTTGTATCTCTAACAAGCTTTTGGGTGATGCTGATGCTACTGGTTTAGGGACTCCACTTTGAGAATAAACTGACGTGTGTTCACATGTCTGGCCTGAGAAATTAAATAGTAGAGCATGGAGAAATCAAAATCGTTTCTGAGCTCTTTGTCATACATTAGGTCAGCTGTGGAGTAAGCCAGCGCCTCGGTGATGGATTGGTTATGCCTTGGGCTGCTGGCGGCAAGGTCAGCAATTTGAAATCTCAGGGGAAAAGAGAAGGTTTTCTGTTTCAGCAAAGAGTTAAACAGTCTCGGAAACCCATAGGGGGAGTTCTAGCCTGTCCTCTAGGCTCCTTAGGAATCAGAATCAATTCCATGGCACTCAGTTGGGTTTTTGGAAGAAGCAGAGGAGGGCTTTTCTTTGCCAGGCTTTGCCTTGATGTTCAGCCTCTTCTTGCTTTGATAATGTTCAGAGGATCGGACTGCAGCCGGACAACTGTAAGCCGAGGCAAGGACACTCAAACGTGGTTTAAATCAGTTTCATTTTGAGGTCTTGCCAGTGAGGATGCAGAAATGAATTAGTTCAAACAAGTTTACAGTAGTACCTATTGTAGTGAATTACCCTTTCCTCTTCTCTCTCCTTTTTCCTGCAGTAGAGGTCTAAGTCACTTACGTTCAGGGCTTTGTATTATTTAGAAAAAGCAACTTATCCTTCTTGCTGACTGGAGTCTGCATACGATGTGGAGTTTAGTGCCAGGCATTTGTATTTAATGCATTTATTGCAATACACTTTCTGAAGGATTTACATACTTAGAACTTGGAGCTCATTAGTAGTTTTCTCAGAGGAGCACAAGTAAAGTAGTAGTATTTTTTTTTTTTACCAAATAAATCTACCAAACTCCCCCAAGTTAATCCCCCCCACCAAAAAACAAACAATCTATCCCACAACAATTGGGTTGATTCTAACTCATATTAACCCTGTATAGAGTTTCTAAGGCTGTAAATCTTCATGTGAGAAGACAGCCTCATCTTTCTTCTCCAGAGTGACTGGTGGGTTTGAACCACTGACTTGAGGTTATCAGCCCAACACCTGACAGTGCCACCAGGGCTCCTCATTAATCTGCTGAAACCCAAACCAAACTCACTGTCATTGAATCGACTCCAATGCCTAGCGATCCTATAGAACAGGGTAGAAATACCTCGGTGGATTTCTGAGACCGTACTCATTAGAGGAGAAGAAAACCTCATCTTTCTCCCGTGGAGTGGCTGGTGGTTTAGAAATCTACAGTTTCTATACATTAGAAGTTACTGTTGGGGCTTTAAGCTTTTTCCAAATACTCAGCTTTGTTGAGATATCAAACCCAGCCAAGCCAAATCCATGGGTTTTATAGCCTACAGAAACGAAAATGCTTTCCACTATCTGGGTTAGACCAGGCTCTTTCTAGACTTAATGTCAGAGGGTTTTGCTGATTGTTTGGCCTTTTAAAAACATCCTATTTGATTCCACCGCATCTCTGTTCGGAAGTGAATAGTCAGACAGTTTATTTTCTTTGCTTTGGGTCATGTGAGGTCATTTGGGGTTTGCATACTTTGAGATGTATATGGTTCGTGGTCCTAAGGAAACTTCCTGGACATTATAGCTAATCAGGCATTTGAAAATTAGAAACGTAGAAGATCATTTTGTCATGAGCCAAAATGAAGGCGCATGAATTTCACTAACCAATTCACTGGTGGCGCTGCTGCTGACACATCGGTTTGATAGATTTTTGATTTCATGTCAGTTTTGAATAGAACGAATAGCCCTGACATCTGGTTGTTCTCTCCCGCCGGCAGTTGGGAGAAACAGGCTTGGTGAGGTGTGATAGCTCAGCCGAGCTCTGCTACTTCTCAGAATGATTAAGACCTCAATTTTAACAATAGCTTAACTCTTCTCTGAGCCAGCTCCTCTGGAGTAGCTGGACTTAATAAAATGAGGTGCTTGCTTTGTTTGAAGATCATTAGGAGGCAGAAATGCAATTTCTTCAAGAATTATCCACAGTGATAGAATTCAAGTGACTCTTAAGAGTTGCTTCAGAAAAGAGGGCAAATAACTATTGATTATCAAGGCGGGTTTATTAGGTGATAAACCTGTTTGCTTTGTCTTGCAGGGGAGCTGTGCTGTGCCTACATTTTCTCAGGAATAACTTCTTGGCCACAACTCGCCAGAGATGCAGGCTTCTGGAATCCACATTTGACAATGCCGTGTCGGCAGCTTGAAGAAAAGACCTTCCACCAGCCCATTCAACCATGCAGTGCCTGGGAGGCTGCTAAAACAGCACGACCTATGGCCACGAGACTCCAAGCTGGATTTTTATCTCTTAATGATTTTACAAATAAAAAGACAACCCCATCTATGCCTGCCCTTTCTCAGGTTTTCCTGATGATTGTGTGGTGATGGTATCAGAACTGCCAAGGACATGTTTGCAGCCTGGGAGGCAGTGCTTGGGTCCAATCGTTTATTATCAGCATCACTGTTCATCGGATTGATGACAGAATTCTGGGAATTGAAGGAACCTTGTACTTGATGTGCAGGGTATTTGCCATACACGGACATGTTATTCCTGTGTTGATCTTAAGCCATATTTATAGGCATATTTTTGATTCTCAGGCATCAGGAGAACTCGATTTCTATTCATAAGTATTCAGGACAGCTTTTTTAATAGAATGTGCGCGCTGTAATTTGCTTCTTTGCGAGAACACAGAATGAAGAGAGGGAGGGTAGGAAGAAATGCACAGTATAGTCTTGACTGCTACTCACTTATTTTGGGATCTGAAGCAAACTATGATCCCCTCTCATTGCCATCAGGCTAATGGGGACCATCATACACAGCTCTGTCTGCCACGGGGCTGCAATGATTAAACAAGGTAGCTTAGTGCAACAAGCACAGGTTTGCCAATGCCAGGCATTGCCACATCTTAACTCAACAATCATGTACATGACTTTCAATCTTCTTGAAACTCATGTGAAACATTTGTCAAATCGGAGGGTGCCACCAGCTTTGTGACGAGTACACTGCCTGGTGCATAGAAGCTCAGTATGTAGAAGCCATTAGTACTATTTGACATCTTTTTGAAAACGTTCTTTTCAAATGCAATGTAAGGCAGAATTACTGTTTGAAAATTAGATGACAGTAGTTTGCATTTCTCACCATTGGAAGCCAAAATATAAATGCACACTGCCTAACAGAAAGCTTGAAGAGAGGCAGTAATTTGGAACTCATCTTCGTTAGATAAAAATTGGACCATTACTGGGAAGTCTGGGAAAATTGTTCTTTTTTTTAATATCTGAAAAATTTTCCACTTAATGCATTGATGAATTTCAAAGCAATTGTTCTTTTTCATCAGAGCCTGCCAGCGTGACCCTCCTCTCATTGTATTCCAGCTATTTGTGCTGCCCGAGTTTTGTTTAAGATAATTCCCCTTCATGTCCTTACTGTTTTATTCTTCAATTGTGTTGGAGGGAAAATTAATGGCAGAAACTAGAATACAGTTTGACCTTGGTTACCAGTTAGTAAATGGCAGTTTGGGATGCTTTTGGAATAAAAACCCAATTCCCAAAGAAAGAAAAAACAGAGGCAATCAATGTGAATTATAGTAGAGGTAAGAGGCAAGAATTTGAATTTGGTTTGACATTGGACTCTACTTAACTCCTATTCTCAATAACTTTCTTGCTGTCAGGTAGGGTTCTCAACATTGGCTTCCCCTTTGGGTTGCCCGGGGAGCTTTAAACAATCCAGATGGCCAGGCTGAACCCCAGACACACGAGGAATCAGAATTTCCAGGGGTGGGACCCAGGCATTAATAGTTTTAAAAGCTTTCTAGGCAATGTGCAGTTAAATTTTTGAGCATTAAGGGATGAATCCTAGGTGATTTGCAGACATGATCTAAAATGGACAATCAACACTTCGGAGATAGAAAATGATTTTTATTAGCAAGGCAAAGAGTGGAATATTTCGACCCACCCATTGCCATCGAGTGATGCTGGCCGAGAGTGACCAAATAGGACAGGGAGGAACAGCTCCTTAGGGTTTCCGACACTTAAATGTTCTGGGGAACAGACAGCTTTATCTCTCCTGAGGAAGGACTGTGAGTTTGAACTGCTGCCTTTTCACTTCACAGCCCAGTACTTGTCCCGCAGCACCAGCAAGACTCATTCGAGCGAAGCACGGAGCTACTGGATTTTAATGCATGGAAGTGGCCTGTGTGCATGCTGACGGAGACCTGGCAGGAGACCTGCTGAGTGATGTAGGCAAGTGGCCCCTGGACAGAACTGGAAGCCCACACTTGGTTAAAGGTGGACTGCTATGCATCACAGTGTGATCACGGGGCTCATCTTTCTAGTTTTTCCAATTTTCAATGTCTTAGGAGCAGACAGAAGTGACAAAAAAAGTATGAAAGAAATTCTCCAATTTTTATATAGTGGCAAAGCATTCAGAATTCAAACAAACAAACAAAAAAGTAAAAGACTGTGCTGTCCAAACAAAACATGTTTCCCAGCCAGGAGATTCCAGCCTCTGCTTCAAAGATGTTAAGGACCAGTCTGAACATCCCGACCAACTTTTAATAGATTTGCATTTTCCTGTTCCAGATGTAAACTGCATTCAGCATCCATCGCTTTAGGCTTTACATACCTGGTTTAGAAAGTGTTTGCTTAAAATTAAAGTATGCTGGGGGTTATTTTTGATTATATGTTACAATCCCTTTCTTATGACAATGTATATGGAAATCCACATTTAATTTGATTCTGTTGTCTATGAGCTAGTGTGAGAAATGCCCAAACTGGCACTATAGGCTTATTGGGCATAGCAGGGACAGGGCTGGGAAAGGGTTAATGCAGTCACATGGCTCCTAAAATCAATAATCTATTCTGTGAAATTGGATGATTTGTGATGTGTTGTGTGACCACCACATAGAGATGCTTGGGTGCTTGTCACAAAGTAATACCTGCTTGTTATTATGAACAATTGTATGTACTAGGAATTTTTAACATGACAGACTTTATGGGGATTGCAACCATGGATATATAGAGGGGTTTCAAAAAGCTTATGGAAAAATGCATATCGTTGCATGAACTTTCTGCAGCCCCCTTGTCTGTGGTTGGATGTTGCCTGAATGGGTATTATGCGATGAGGGACTATACACAGCCCCAGCCAATGTCTTCTTTCTTGAAGTGGGAGCTTGCAATTTAGGATGAAAATTGACTGCAGTTGTTCTTTGATTTGAGGGTACACAAGAAATCCTAGGGGTGGAGAGATTGTTAAAATACAGAGTGCCATATCCCTCCTCCAGCCATTGCAGTTCATGACACTGAGTTGGGACTCAGGAAATCTACAATTTCTAGAAAGTTCTTCAGGAGTTTCCGATGTGTCCTTCCACAGACTGCATTTTGAGGCACCCTGTTGTCATACTGGCTTCTCTGTCTGCTGCTGTTTAGGAAGCTTTCGCAGTCATTTGGGTCCACTGATCATTACCGTTGATCACTCAGGACCACATAAAATGTTCTTTTGCAGGAAGAGGCTGACTTAAGCCATTCTAATATGATTGAGGTGCTTTTACCCTGAAGAGCTTTTATGGCTTCATTCGTGCATGAATAAAAAAGGGGCTCTGTTCCTTTATACACATTATGTTGTATATTTTATCAGCAGTATCTACCTAGTAGTACCCCGTTTATGTGCCATTGGGGTAGGGTGCCTTGTAGAAATCACTCAAGGTTCTTCTTTAAAGTAGCACATCGTTTTTTCACTTATTTTCAACTTTGTGATGGAAATATTTCTTGCTTTAGAATATGTTTTCTTGCTTTTGCAAACAGAACTCCCTAAAGATAATTTAACCTTTTCAGGGTCATCTTTTATGTTTTTAACTCTTTCAGGTTCTACTTAAGCGTGCTAAGTAGAACTGCACAGGGCCAGCACGCTTGCTAAAGCGGAGGGCAGTGAACGAGAGGAAGACCTTCAATGCGATGGATGACTCAGTGGCTGCAGCAGCGGCTCCCACATACCGCCCACTGTGAGCCTGGAGCGGGACCCAGCTGTGTTTGCCAGATGACGCCTGACAACAACAACAACAACGCACCGGCCTTGCCGCGACTGGCTGCGATCTGTGTATTTCTTAGTGGTTAGAATTGTTCTCTCGCTCTCTGTCTTGCTGTCAGTTACTTCCCTCTGCCTTCTCTGGGCCTACCTCGAGGAACTTCCTCCATTTTGCTATGGGGTTGAAAGGTCAGGTAATGATGTACTATGTGCCAAGTAATAGTAAACAGGATCTGCATAGGCTCTGATAAACTTTTCCAAGAATAAAATGAGTGAACCTTGCTGTTTTGACTTGGTGATGGAATTTCATTGACTCAACTACCTTTCTCTAATTTCCTGAATTTCGCGTGCAGTTGTCTGATTCATGACCTCCATTTGAAAGAGGTGTTGTTACAAGTGATTACCTTTCATCTCTCAAACAGGTGCCTTCTCAATATTTAAAATATGCAGGTTTCCCTCGCTTTTCAGAGATTCATGTTCCACCAGTAAGCCTCAACAAAGGACCTACATTAGTAGGTACCTGTTGTTGCTAACCAATCTATGCACACATGTATAATCCGACTCACTTTTATGGAAAAGGCAAAAACCAAAAGAGTGTTCGGTGTTTATTTATTTATTTTTTGCAGCAAGCCTTTAAAGCAGCAGCAGGCTCCCCAAACCTCCAAAGTGATGTTACCCCGCTCTTTCCCTGGTCCCTGCACTCAGCAAGCTGTCAGAGCCCTAACCTGCATTTCTGCGCGCTATATGTTAATGCTATTTTAAGCTTTAAGCGTTATTTGGTAGATTATTTTTGGGGTCTGAGAATGCTCTAAAATTTTATGCTTCACACCATTTGGACTTTTGAAAGGTTTCTTAAAAAAACCCTCTACTTGAGGGTAGCGGCAAAACATGTATGCAGTTTTATAACGAGAAACTTAAAGTGGATTAAAATTCAAGTAAAACCTTCTCAGGCCAATGCGTTGTGCATATTAAAGTGTTTTTGATTCAGTGTTACTGTGATTTAGAGCTACAAATTAGTTGGCCCCTTTGAAATTCAATTCTGCAGCCATTGAAATAAAGGTGTTACAACTAATGGATTCTATTTTCCTTGAGAGTATCATAGAATTTAGCATAGTTTGTGTTTATCATTTGTAGCAGTGATCTGAGACCTTGTCAGCTGCCCCAGGTGAAGGTGTTATACCAACCATATGTTCACTCCCAGTTATACTATGATGAGCCATTAAATATCTCCCAGAAATAAGAGAGGGTCATCATTCTGGATGACCCAGGGAGGTCACAGGCATGTAACAGAGGCAGAAGAAATGAAGCACAGAACAAACAGCAGCAAGGTGGTCCTGGAGAGGGAAGGTGGAAAGGAAAGATGAAATGAACTACTTTCTTGTTAACTTGTGAGGCTCAGTTATACTTTCTGCTCTTTGCTTCTCTAACACTTGCCTTTACCCCAAAGCTTTGAATTGGACCATTTTCGTTTGACCCTTTGTTGAGAATTTACTTTTCCACTCCAAATATACTGAATCAGAGTCTACAGTTTAACAGGCTCCTCAGGTGATACTTAAAGATATCCAGGTGATTCTGATGTCTACCTAGGAGACGTTAAAATGTAGAGTCTGATTCAGTGTACTTAGGGTGGAGATGCAAATTCTCAGCAAGGGGTTGAACTGACCCAGCACAAGTGCAAAGCCAGCCCCATGTTACTGCTTAAAAGAAAAACAAACACCCCCCTCCCTGAAAAAGCCATTATTCTCAAGGCAAGTCAATTAGGACTTATAGGGACCCTATAGGACAGAGGCCTGATGGTGTAATGGTTAAGTGTTGGGATGCAATCCTCATGGTCGGCAGTTCAAAACCACCAGCAGCTCCGAAGGAGACAGACTGCTTTCTACTCCCATAAATAGTTGTAGTTTCAGAAACAACAGGGGTGTCACTATGAATCAGCATTGACTCGATGGCAGTGGGAGAAAGTCTGTAGACGTGTCTCATGGGGATTCAGAGGCTATAAATCTTTACAGGAGCAGAATACCCAATCTTTCTCCCATGAAATAACTAGTGGATTTGAACCAGTGACCTTTCAGGTGGAAACCCAATACTTAATCCACTGTACACTGGGATCCTTTATCCTCTCACATGTTCTCTTTGAGTAGGTTTCTGTGTTGTATTAAAAAAGTGCCCAATGAATGCCTTTCTTTGCAGGAGCAAATGATGGCTTTACCTTTAGAGATAGAGATGTTGGTATTGTTAGGTGTCGTAGAGTTAGTTCCAACTCATAGTGACCCTGTGTACAACAGAAGGAAACAGTACCCAGTCCTACACCACCCTCACAATTCTTATGTTTGAACCCGCTATTGCAGCAGAGATACAGACTCCTTAATTCAATGAGAGTTGATTCATCACCCACTTCATGCAGAAGACCTGCTGGTGCGAGAGTTGGGCTGGTAATCACAGGCCAGAAGTCTGAAACTATCAGTGTTCCATGGAAGAAAGGTAAGACGTTCGATTCCTGGAATGACTTACAGCTTCAGAAACCCACTAGAGCAGTTTTCCTCGTCCAACAGGGTCTGTGACTTTGGAATGGTGTTGAGGGCAGTGAGTTTGCTGTGAGCAAGAAAACGTGGAGATTGTCTTCTCTTTTGACTCGGTCCAGAGGATTGTTAGAGGTGTGTAGCATCATCACATGAACAGACAGCATTATTAGGCCTGACACTGAACTTCTGTGAAGAAAGCCGTGAGGTGTACACACACACACACACACACACGCAGATTTATATCAAGAAATTTGCACAGTTGTAGAAGTGGGTAAGTCTAGTCCAGTTTAAGGCCGTGGGTAAGATGGTAAGATGGAAACTTCTGACAGATTTGGGGGCGGAGGAAGCAGGAAGCAGGAAGTTGAAGTAGGAAGACCACAGGCTGGTAGATGCTGAGTCAAATGAATGCCAGCTTGGCAGTTTGCTGATAACGCCTCGGATTGGTAGGCAATACGGCAAGAGGTTGATGGCACAGATGAGAGATCCAGTTCCAGCAGAAGTCATATACTTTCCCATGGCGTCAGTTACAAAGTTGCTGACCACACCCCTGTGGAATCTTTCTTCCCATTGCATAGCGGATGTGACCTACTCAAGGGGGCTGTGTTGCACCACAGCTGCTGCTTGCTCACAGAATTGATAATGTGTCCTTAGATCCCATCTGGCAGTTGACCCCATTATGGGGAATTACTGACAAGCAAGTGAGAACTCAGGTACAGCAAGTTGGCCCCAAACCTATCACAGTGTTCTCTAAGTTCAATCAAAATATTTACTTACATGAGGGAGCTTCAAAAACATATAGAAAAGTGCAATGAAAAGATAATTGAATTTTCCACTGAAAAATTTGAAGAGCCACTGAATGTATAGTTACAAATGATAATGTTCGAATTGTTGTTGTGAACTGCTGCTGTCAGTCCCAGAGCCATGGTGATCCTAGGCACAAGGGAACAAAATGATGCCAGGGGTGCTACATGCCATGATTAATTACTGGACTGTTTTCATCCTATATCTTTCATTGACTGTGCCCCCTCCCTCATCCAGTAAATTCCAGGTCTCTTTGCCTAGTCTTGAAGCTCCACTAAAAACTGTTCAGCATCATAGCAACACATAAGCCTCCACAGACAGATGACAGACATGTGCCTGAGGTACATGGCTGGGAACCTCATCCAGGCATCCCCCTTCCAAAACAACTACACTCACTGCCATCGAGTCAATACTGAGTCATAGTGCCCCCTCTGTGGGTTTCTGAGATTATAACTGTCTACAGTCACAAACTGTTTACAGTTTAAATCTCAGAACTATTTACAGGGTGTATTAGTCTAGGTACTTTAGAGAAACAAATCCACAGCAACTCATGTATAAGAGAGTTTTATGTAAAGAAAGTGTGCATCACGAAAATATCCCAACCCAATGCTGGCCAAGCCCACAAGTCCAACATTAACCCATTAACCCAACACCAGTCCACAAAGTCCTCCACCTCACAAAACAGAGGCAATGATGTTGACTGCAGGAGGAAAGCTGAGTCAGTGAATGGATAAGCATCTCAGCAAGCAGGGGTCTCCACACAGCTGCTCCAGCACCCATGGCTGCATTGGGATAGGTCCATGTGGCTTCTCCTTGGGGATGTCTTGTAGGAAGTCAATCTTGCAAGCTGAAGCAGGGAACTGTTAAGCCAGATGCACCCTGGTGCAACCATCAGAAAGCAAGAGACCTGAGAACTAGAAAGGTGAGGCTCACCACCCATTTATCCCTCTGCCTTTCAATTAGCCCCACATGTGATTATCGGCCAGGTTGGCACAATTAACTAACTCACAGGGGTAGAAAGCCCAGTCTTTCTCCCTCGGAGCTGCTGGTGGTTTCAAACTGCCAACTCTGCGGCTCACAGCCCAAAGCATAACTACTACACCACCCGGGATTTTCCTCGGAAGGTAAGAACTCTACCTCTGAGCCACCAGCGGTCCCAGTGTCAGAGCTGGTCTCCGTGGACCACCTGCTCGAGTCAGATGGGGGATGCTCAGTGCATAATGATTGCAGGGTACAGAACATGGAGGTATACTTTACTTAAAGACTCTTGACTATTAAAGTCTGCTCTCAGGACATCCCAGCATTCAGGGATCCAGTCTCAGCATAGTGTTTCCCAGAATCTATGGGGGTGTAGGGAGGGTATGCTAAGGAGTGCAGATAAAATGTGCAAATTATAACACAAACCCTGGAGAGGGCAGGTGAAGAGGGCGAGTCCTAAGAATGAAAAACCCCATGTGGTGGGAACTCCGAATAGAAATGCAGCTAACTTAGGGACTGCAAGGTCAATTATTCTTGCATGCTCGAAACCATGAGCAGTAGTAATTCCTACCAACTTTAGAAGCCATGCTTGCTCTCTCTTAAGTAAACTATAATGCTGGCTGGAAGAGGGAAGTTTTCATAGAAAGCCTCTTCTTTCTCGTGTTATGTCTCTTACCCATCAGAAAAATGTAATTCCAGGAGGGAAGGGGGGTGTAGAAAGGGGGAATTGATCACAGGGAGCTACATATAACCTCCTCTCTGGAGGATGGGCAGCAGAGGGATAGGTGAAGGGAGATGCCAGGCAGTGTAATATAAGATATAATAATAATTTATAAATTATCAAGGGTGCATGGGGGAGGGGGGAGGAGGAAGGGAGGGGGAGGGGAAAAAAGGAAAATGAGCTGATTCCGGGAACCCAAGAGGCAAGCAAATTTTGGGAATGATGAGGGCAACAAATGTATAGATGTGCTTTACACAATTGATCTATGT